CTTCTGCCGCGGAGCTGACTCCCGAGTAACGCAGCGAGCAGTGAACGCGAGGCTGTCGCGCTGAAGGGTCCGATTTACCCCGGAGGAAGGCTCCGTGAAGGCTCTCTTCCGGGGGAGGGAGCTGTGAGCTCTCACTGGTTGGCCGCGGGGCTTCCGCTCTTCTGAGCTTCACCTACCACGCAGGGTTGTTGTGCAAGACGGGCGAGAGGCAGACAGACCGAGCGTGCGGGAAGGAAAGACTAACGGCGGACTTGCGGATCCGTTCCTGGGAATCTGGCGCGCCCAGGCGGGAGCAGAAAAGGCCGAGGGAGATTTAGGGCGTGCGGAGATCCCGGACGGCAGCCGCGGGCGCGCCTGTGCGCCACTTTCCTGACCCCGAGCGGCGCTCCAGCGGCTGGCCGCCCGGATCTGACGGGCCAAACTGAGCTCCGGGTCTTTTCCACGCTGCTCCTTACCTTACCGGCCACGGATTTTGGTTGGACGGTTCGCTTCTTGCCAGTTCAGGGACCAGAAACCAATATGGCATTGCTAGAGGGGTAGGGAGGGGCCCAGGCCAGCCCCTAACAATCTCGGGTTGGGGGTCACCCTCCCACAGGCCAGGCCCCCTTTACAAAAGAATCGCCTTTTCTGGGCCAGACTCCGAAGGCTCCTTTGGGTGGCCTTTTGTGTGGAACAGGGCTCGGATGCTGCTTCTGAGATGCGACCAGGGATCAAAAGCATCAGACTTCTCCCTTCTTGGTCTCTGCCTATTGCATTCAGAGGTAGACTGCACCAGAACCTGGAGGTTTCACTGTGCTTCCCAACTCTGTCCTCCCCGGCTGTCACTGCGTATTGTGGAAGGGAGTTCCAGACGTGAAGGAGGAGGGGGTGGGTGAAGATCTGTCAGGAAACTGGAGTACCACAGAAGCAAGACGCTTCAGCGAATGTCCTGTGCCGTGTCCCCTTAGGTTCTCGGTCTGCCATCTGGTACCTGGTCTCTTTGCCACCTTGACCTACGTTCCTGCAAAATAAGTTGTCAGAAAACAGAGGGACAGCAAAAGAAATAATGTTATTAT